TCAAAAAATCGATGAATTGATTTAAAACTTTGCAGGTAGCTTTTTAATAGTAATATGAATCTATAATAACAAAATTCAACATGCTAGCATTGTTTAAGTATACATATAGCCTATACATCCTTAATTACTAGTCGTCGTACTAACGATAGGTTGTAATACATCAATTCCTAAAAGAAATGAGAAATGAATTTGAAAAATTCTAGCCAACTCCAATTTTCCACCGTCATTTCAAGCGTACTCGATTTTCCACTTTAAGGAACCAACAATTTCTTTCCATTTTCATTCACTGATAATAAAGTACACTCGACCGACCTTTTACTCCGGCTCACCTCCCATTCCGCGCAGCGCTTAACCCTTTGTTACTTTCTCGTCGATTCTTATCCGGCTGGCCCCGCACTCTCCTCTTTTTTTTTTTCTCGTTCTCTCGTAATTCGCCGTGCTGCGAGCGCCGCATCGCGCTCGATTCGCCGCCAGATACGACCTTTTGCAAGATCGGCCCCGCTCCTCCGGTGTGTAATAAGATTAAGAAGGAAAAAAAGGAATAGGCGATCGTACACCCGGTGGAAAGTTGTCCGTCTCCGCGAGGCACGTCTCGCCCCCACTTTGCCGCAGCCAGAAAAACGATGTTGCCAAAGGTGCAACGCCTTTCGTATCACTTTAAAAAGAAATCCTCGTTACTCTTCTCAGTCGTTTGCTCGTTCAATAACTAATACGATCGTCGTATTTAGGAACGAGACTTGTTAGTAGATAACAAAGTACTTCAATCCTTGAACGTACACCGTCCGATGCAATAAAACGGGAGATCTAAATGACCGTGGCGATAAAACCGATGAATGTGGGTTAATCGGGAACGGACGCGATGCGATGCAAAAATTCAGCAACACAATTTCCGCGGCATGAGATTACGGTAATTACCTGCCACGAGGAGCAACAGTTTCATTACGGATAAGGCAGTGCGCGTGCATCCGGTCTCTCTTTCATCGTTTTTCCCCCGTCCGCGGGTTGTTCCATGGAACGAGGGGAACTGTCCTTGCGAAGGCTTCTCGCGCTGCCCTCCGGTGGATAAATCGCATTATCATGCGTCGGCGAACGGGCCCTCGAAACGTCGTCGTTGTTACAGATGCCGCGATGGAATTTTAACGAGATCTTATCCGACGTCTCGACGAATCTAATTAAACGGTCCGAGAATCGTTGCTTCGAATTTTCACCAAGCGTATCTTTCTTCGAGCGAGTTATCTTTCGATAAATGAATTTGCAAAATTTCGTATTGCGTGAGATTAATAACAGAGGAATTATGAGAATGATTGAATAATATTTTTGCAAAGGCAAATGTGTTGTATAATGTTTCGCGCTGATAAATGAATGTATTTTTACTGAAAATGTCAGAGAAAGGATAAGACGATCGTTAATTGCCGCCGAGGAATTGAGATCCTCGCCGAGTAAATTGCGCCATTAAAACCGAGGGTGAAGTTGACCAAGGCGTCAAGTAATTAGCAGACTATTTTTAGCGCGGCCTGTTTTCATCTGACTTTTCGATGATAATTTCTCACGATTAGCACTTCACGCTGCGACATTGCCTCGATTTTATCCGAGTACCGGTCTGCGGTATAAAAAAAGGGGTCGGGACACGTTCTTTATTGCCGCAGTAATTTCTCAGTTTCGCGTATAGCAAAGCCGTTTAAATATCTGCAAATTGCGATTTTAAGCGGCTTATAGCCTCCCGTTCCTGCTCGATACCAGTCAAAGAGAAAACTCTTCCTCTCTAGGAGGAGAGTCGATCCAAGCTCGTTAAATTTACTGCGTGCCCGCCGTTGGAACCAAAGAACGAAGCATTAACTCGTTCCTCTCGATACGGTCGGTTTCATTCGTTAAATTTTCATCGCTCCATATTCCCAAGCTTCTCTATCTCATAAACTACGGTTCGGTAATATTAATGGCATCTTATTTAATAGCTATTACTTCGTATCATACGATTTCAGTGTGATGGAAATCGTTCCTGTCGTTAAATATTATTTGAAGATGTGACATAATATTTTTCAATTGTACCCGAGAAGAAGCGTGGAACGGAATAATAAATAATAAGATCAGGTGATGATACGTTGAACACGGTGGACGCGCGGGAAACGCGTAGTTTTCTCCGGTGAATTTTTTCCTCGTGGATACTCGGAGCTGGGTGGTCGAGCACGTCCACGTACGTGTCCATTCGGCGACGTGAATTTGCCTGGGTTTAAAGTACTTCCACGGGTCCAATTTTCCGCAAGAATGTGACACGTAGCAATCTTGGTAACCTCCGGGCCCCCGGTGCACGATTTATTGGCTACCGAGTGTACCTTCGACGATTTATCTTCTTTTCCCACTCTACCAGGTCTCACCGTTTCGCCCCTTATTTCCTTCATACGACTTCCTCCTCCTCCTCCTCCTCCCGCCGCCTCGTCCCGCTCCGTGTTTTTTGTCCCCCGCCTCGTCGCCTTCTCTTTCTCGTCCTCGTTTCCTTACCTCTTCTTGTTTTATTCGTTAATGCGCTCGTTCTTTGTCTCTCACCGTGGCTACTTTTTGCCGCAGTTTCTGTTCTGGGTTTCATTTATTTCCACCCGGGAGTCGTCGCTCCTTTTGTCACCTCGCGCGAAGCTTCCTTTCTTCGCCGGAGTCTCCTGCTTAGTCAGTTCTCTTTAAACACCGTCTCTTTTTCTGTCCCGTTTCAAGCCTTGTTTACACGTGTTTCATAATTTTCCGCCATTGTCCCTGCTTTTGCCTCGCGACCTTTTTTTGGGGCCCGTCTCACCCCCGTTCCTTCCCGCGTCGTTGTCCGATTCAAACGACGCACGAGACATTGTAATTATCAATCATCCCAAAGCGTTTCATTGTACCGGCGCGGAACAAATTTTTTAACCCCCTCGACTATTATGAAATGAGATGCGTACGACGGGAAAGTGTTGGAATCCCGGTCTCGGGCAAAAAGAAGGGAAAAGGGCAAAGGGGTGCGGAGGGGGTCTGCAGGTGTAGCGCCCGCAGCGACCGGGTGATAAAATGCGCGCGCGGACTCACTCTCCCGTTGCGAACCTTCCACGATGCGCCCGGGGCTTCGATAAAAAATGCAGTGATCACGTTTCGGCAGAGACTTTGGAATCTTCAATCTGCCCCCGCGCCCTCCCTCATTCGCACTTCTCCCTGGATCGATTCGAACCATACAAAAAATATGAATCAACTACACGTGATTATCGTATTCCTTTATTTCTTCCTGACTGTTTCCCGATATTAATAATGGATTCGTGGAGTCCGTGGAAAATTGATTGATAAATTAACGTTCATTTGATTCTATGCATCGTGCAACTTTGATCGTTGCGAGCCTCTGGCGCACAAAGAATTGTTTGAGGAGACCGAAACGGTCACTAACTGCCACTAATTCGGGGAATAATTTCGCAGAAGCCGGGAATTAGTCAAATTGAAATCGGTGAGGAATGAACAGGGTTTTCAATAAAATGCGAAGAGTTACGATCGCGCGAACCGTCGAGAGAAATGAAAATACGCGACGGGCTCGCTATTGTTCTCAATTAAAAGTTAAAGTTGATAACGAGGCGAGTCCGATCTCGTAATTTGAAAATACGATTGCCGCAGCCCAGGGGTAATCGAAATCCCCCTTTCTCTCTCTCCCGCCGTCATCGAAGCAACGCGTTTAATGCATATTCGAGCCGGTCGAAAATACGTTTCATCGATGGCTGAGCAATTATTCTCTCGCACGGTTGAGCAATTACCATTGTCTTCCAATAATTTTTACTGTATTTCTTCCTGTTCAATTCGAGCTGATAAGAGTCCTCCGTGACAAATTTCCCCGTCCACTCTGAAATGTTGTCTATAAACTTTGCACCTGATAAGACGTGCGAACGAAAAGGTACACCGATGAAAATCGATGAGAAAATATACACTAAATATAAATTGAGAAAAGATCGATCTTATGTAAAGTCGAACTCGGTAAAAAAAGAAACGACCGGTATTAGAAGAGAACGTATTTGTACAGTGGAACGGTATTTTATCTCTTGGCAGCTGTCGTGAATCTCGAGTCGATGTGATCGAGCCAGCAGTGGCGGTGGTGAAAAGCTGTACTTCTTAAAATCGAGCACTTTGGGCACTCGTCGCGGTGCTCGATTTACCAACGACAGGTCGCCCGCAAGTAAGTGCTCCAAATTCGTCAACAGAATCAATCCGACGGTTTCCATGTAAAACGTTGAGAAAAATAGTCACCGATTCAAAATTCTCGTTGGAAACAAAACAAATTTTTAACTATTACAATCCTATTCGACTTGCAATTATTCTGAAACAAAATTAGTCTGCTTTATCAATCACATTTCGTGATTCCGACGGAAAGAGAGATAAAGAGAGAGAACGCTACGTATGATTTGTTGTACGCACGCAGCTCCGCCAATACGAGCGCAACATCCGCAACTCCGGGCGGCTTGTTGGAGTGCGGCAAGTGCCTGGACGAGATGCGACTGATGCAGAGGCTGGCGATCAGCGGACTCGTGTCCGTGATACTGATCGTCCTGTTGACGGGCACGTTCGTCACCCGCCGCGATCTGACGAACGTCGTCGAGCGGGGCGTCGCGCCGGAGGAGCGCAACGAACTGCAGCAGCAATTGAACCCGGGCTGGGTTCAGAGCAACGTGATCCCCGGCCAAGACCAGGAGCCGAAATCCGAAGACAAGGACCGGCTCAGGGTGGATTTCAAGCACAGAGAGTCGGAACCGTCGGCCGTCGGGCCGCCGCCGGCCCCTGTGCCCGGCCCTTATGTCATCAAACCGCCTAATCCACCCTTGGACGACGTGACTAATCAGCGCCGCGAGAAGATCAAAGAGGTAAGCGGCCATTGTGCCTGTTCTCACCAGTTTGGATTCCCTTTCACGCAATGCGTGGCTACCTACTATAATTTCGCGATGCTAATTGGCATCGCCTTTACGGAATGAGGGAGGCACGGTCGATGCATAAATTATTAAATTTGTTAAATGCGTGTCTCTCTCGTAATGTTATAATAAGTTCATGTGCATCTTGAAAAGTTGCAATATTTTATCTGAATTCGTTTGCGAATGATTTTATTATCGTGTATACGAGAGGTCTGTCGATGGGAATTTATTTTGCTCGTCGAGGTAGATTTAAAAAACAGTTTCTATATCTGTAATGAAAACGTATGAACGAATGCGAGGTTCATATATCAAAGGCCGGTGACAAACTGGTAAGCTAACAATTTCCATCAGTTGCTCACTTAAGTCGCCATTTCCAACTTCCATTAGACACGGTGAGTAAGTGTCACCGTGAAGTTTCTCACGTGGCAGGAAGCATCGGTAACCGACGTGCAAAGAGAGGTAAGTCGTCGGTTTCCGTCGCACTCACCATTCACCACTCCTTCAATTCACGTTGTTCGTGTCTTTACTCGTTCGTAAAAGATTTTTCCTCGAGAAAAGATACAAATAATACAATTCTCCTTCCCGTCAAAGCTACGAACATTTTTCACCGTTTTGACAAGGCGAATGAACTCGTTTTCGATATTCCATGAAATCGTGTATTCAGATTAGTGTACCGTCGCTTTGAACGGATACAAGTAAACCGGGTCCAATAAATCGGGTCGATAAACTGGATAATAGCATGGTTGACCGTTGTTCAATAAAGTCTAGGCCGACCGGGAGACGGAGCTAGAGAGCGGTATCGGATAAAAGTCGATTAAATTCTAAATCAAGGAAGTTAGATATACGTCGATTCGATTCGCATGCGATACCAGCCACCGTATAGAAAAGATACATCTGTGCCATGGCATCGATGCTCTCGTTGTTAATTATTTATTCGCCTATTTTGTAACGTCACTCAGTCTTTCGAAATAGAACTGATTTATTGTCTACTATTGTTACAACTGTGCTAAATATCCATTTGGGTAATTGACGTTAGTCATTATATTTCGTTTTTAAGCCAACTTCGAGATCATATTTAGAGAATGTCATAACAAGCCGGTCAATCTAAATTAATTCCTTTTATAAGATTTTTAATTGTTAGATCTATTCTAATATGTTTGCGGGTTTCAATCATAGCACCTTCCTGCGAAATCCAGCAAACTATAAAATAAGACTAAGCCGGAGTGACCGCGTTCGTTTGCGATTCCTTAATTCAATTCCGTGCCCTATCGATTTGATCGCGGTCGACGAGTATCCAATCCACGGGTTTCAATTAGCGAGTAACAGCCCCAGACAAATCCATCGTTCAGAAGGGACTGATGCGGAACGACGATAATCGGGAGGGTCGCATCGCCCTACGTCGCGTCGGTCGAAACAGATTTACAGGAACGCGCAGAGACACTAGGATTAAGGAGGATATAGAGAGACGGAAAGACGGACGAGGGCTCAAAGGGGATGATCGTACCACCAGAGAGCTGCACCCTTTAATGTGATTGACTCGTTATCACGCTGATTTCGCGAAACGGAATTATCGTCGGATATCCACTTTACTCTTTTTGCTAAATTAATTATGCTCGGCGAGGGTCCGGTCCATCTCGCGATCTCTCAATCAGGACCATCGGATTCTGTTTTTAACGTTCAGGTTCAATTGAAAGCACCTGATAGATACTGTAAAACTGCACAGTATTTTGACGAGGAGTAATGTATCGGCTTAACAAGGCGAGATCGATATCGAATCAGTGAACCGTGTTTCATGTGCGAATCGGCACGGATCCGAATAACAGCCGGGACGAAAATTGGAACGGGGCGCGAAATTACGTTTGACTAATCCACTCCTCGGTTTTCTGTACCATTTTCTCTGCTCGTTCCAGTTTCAAAACGCAGACCGATTCGAACAGTCCGCAGGACAAAGGACTCGTCGATTTCCCCTTTGCGATTCTCTTTAATTTCCGTTCTTTTTGACGCGTCCCGACGCCAAAGTCGTCAAATCGTTCCGTGCTAGTTAAACTTCGAGCTATTCTCTCCCTACGTATGTACAAATTTTTCAAACAACTTCCCGTTGTTCTAAAATAATTGCTTTTACACATGAAAAGCGTTGGAATACTCTAAGGTGCGTAGATATTCACATGTACGTTGACCGACGCGATTTGCATGCGTGCCACTAATTAGAGGCAACGTTTAAAGCGCGATCCCTAATACGTTGGGATTAGGGATCGTTTGAGTAACGGGAAGGCCGCCGCTTTGCCAATGTAATCAGACCGGCGTCGCGCGGAATCGATTCTGATGCCCCGTCGCCCGTACCGTTCGCACGTTACGCGTGTGCTTTCCGTACCCGGAGTAGACGTTCACCGAGAGATCTGGGTCATAGCGGAATGAATATCTCTCGAAAAGAAGATTACGTTTTGAAATCAGTATGACATTGAATAAATAAATTTAAACCGGAGCCATAGACGAATTTCGATATTCAAGATTCCAGTTTCTGAGCACTTAAAAGATCTCGTTTCGTCTTAATAAGTCAGCATATAATTTTTAATAGTTCAATCTGTAAACTCTTTTATACACAGAAAATTATACTGTAACGATGATATGAACGTTCTGAATTTTAATTCGTAGAATACTATTTATTCAAAAAATGAAATTAGACATAATCGAAGCATGTAAAATACGAATCAATAACCGGGGTATTAAAAACGCTGATTTGCCGGTCGGCATCAGTCGTTAAACAACCGATCTGTATTCAAGCCGACCGGTGGGAACTAAACGATGGCGTTTCTTTTTCCATGCGCGAGAATCCCGGGGTTCAAGATGGAACGCGCGAACGGTAAATCGAGATCCATTCCGAACGCGGTTTGCCCATTTCGTGAATTACGCGAGTCCACTCGCGAGGCAAATTGCTTCGCCCGGAATGAACGATGCGTATACCGGCCCCAACGATCGGGGAGGGAGATCTATAAGCCTCGAATCCCCCTACGTAACTGCACCGCCCCCGAAACGAGCTTTACGGCGAGAATTCGTGGCAAACACGACTTACCGCTGGGATTCGATTTATCGAACTAATTATGAACACGCGGTTGCAAAAATTCCAATTTTTATCGCATTTCAAAAAACGCATTCTTCTTCGCATGATCAATTTCACGTAAATGTGTAAACTTCGTCTGTTTTACAGTATGTAAAAAATACCTCCAACGTGAAGTCTGCTGTATAATTTTTGTCACATATTCCATCTCGTCTTGTAATAAATTATTAATACGATCTACGGTCTCTTTGCAAGAGAGAAAATTTATCCAAGAGACGAGTTCAGTGAAGGGGAGGTTCCTCTTCGACTCTGATTACCATTTCCGGTGGGAAGGGGATGATGTTCGAACGAGTGCGCCTTCCGACAAAGTCGCATTGTCCGTCGGGTGAACGGGGGCCTGCCTCTTGGGCACAATGGGAGCGGTTCCTTTTAATGAGACGCTGGTTTAAGGGAGAAACGATAGACGGTGAAAAAGGATCGAGGGTGAGGAAACGAGTACAGGGTGGTCCATAAATCGTGAACCACGGCTAATGAGAATTTTTGGTAAAGGCAGCTTGAATAAAAATCATTGTGTCGGTAAAACCGAGTATTTGTTATAAAAAATATTTGGTACGTTCGGTAAGACTCTGTCCATGTCTAAACAATACTGTTGGTTATAAAAGAAGAAGAATACGGTTTAGAAATACTTTCTGCAAAATCTCGAAACGTGTCCCTAAAATTTCACGAACCTAAGCACAGGAGACACCCAGTACACTCCCATCGAGAGCATAAAGGGAGAAGCTGAGGGCAGAGAGGAATCGTAAGCGTCGAGCTTTCATTCACAGATCACAGAATAAGATCCTAGAGAGGGTGTCGGTCGAAGAATAATTCACGCTATTAGCCTCGAGGCGGAACAATGCGCGACCCGACCCACGACAATAAACAAAGACATAATTATGGTTCACCTCCGGAGCAGGGTCGTCGTCGGTGTAGAATTCCGCCGCTCTCACTTTCTCTCTTCATCCATCCTTTGCGGTACAAACGTGCTCACAAGTTTTCGACAGGATCAAAGTCGTGACAATTCTATAAATATTTTCTCTCAGCTCGTAAACTTGTATATCAAATCCTGATTCACGTCCATTTCTTTAATGTCTAATAAACAAATTATGTTATTAATAAATCTTGTCTCGATTAAAATGATTGCATTGTAAAATTCATGGAATTGCATTCTGCCAACGAAATATTCTGAGTATTGAGACGGTGTTAGGATTTCTGAACGGGAATGTACACGAAGTTGGCGAGGTGTCACGGCGTTTAGTCGTCCAAGACGCGTCGTGCCGGGATTCTCGCGTTCCCATGGCGTTTTCGGGTCTCACGACCCGCGGTCTCTGAGTTCAACTCTCGTGTTTCGCCGGCTGCTACGGATTGATTAAACTCAGCGCCGTGATTGGTATTTTAGCGAGCGGATTCCCCGCGTTTCACGACGCGGCGACGAAACAGCAGATTGCGTCTTGCGGTTGACTCGCGCTTTCGCCGCGTTCCCTCAATGCTGACGGATGAGAAACTTGCCGCGGGATTCTTGACTTGATTGATGCCCTACGTTACGAGTTGAATTATGGCAAATCAAACATAAAATTTAAGCCAAATACCAAAGACACTCGCATATTTTATCGACTGTAATATTTTTATATTAACAATTTTTTCGTCGCGTAAAAAACTCAGATTTTTTCTAAAAATTGCAAGGATATTTCATAGCGAGTTGATATTATAATTGGGCTCGTTCCAGCGAGAAATTCTCCCCGACGACGGTACACACATAGACCTGCGCATCTCTGCGCCGTAGCATTCTTAAGGATTCCTACGATTCCTGTAATTTTACGGTGAATGGGCAGGAAAAATTGGTAGCGCAGTTGGAATAGCGATTGAGCTTTCACTGGAGAGACGCTTGCGAATATAAAACTCGTCGCGTTTTACCAAGACTGTGGTTAAATTGCTCGCGAGAGAATAATTTGAATGCTCTTTATCATATTTTATCCTCTATTACATCCTGAGAAAATCGCACTTTGGTTCTAAACAAATGGCCTAAATGTAAAAGGCGTATCTCTAAATTTTTCAAACAAATTATTTTACAGTCGATAAATTTAGGTCCGTATATGATTAATCGATGTCGCAGAGGAACTTCTCTGTGATAACAAGCAGGATTGAGAAACGTACACCGGTCCTGTTTGAAACTCCTACTGTCAGAGAATGTTGCACTTTGGAATAGAAGTGTACGCGTGTGTGTTCATTATGTTACCACCAAGATATGAGTACGCGGATACAGTTGTTCCGAAGTTGCGCCATGTGTACGCGTCTAGTTCGGAGTTTAAAGCGAATTTACACAGCGGCGTTGTCGACACGAGCAAATTACCAAATTACCAATTGTTTTAACGAGAAGCGCGACTAATTCCGCGTGACATTGTTCCCCGAACCGTAATTCATTTAAAAGCCCCGAATAATGGCTAACGATTTCTGACTATAAATAATTTTTCGAAGACTCTTATTTCATTTAATAATTCATCGCGTTTTATGAATCCAACAGAAATTATTATTTAATTGTCTGAATTCTAAAGAATTTTCACTGACATTATGAATTTAATTCAACCAGATTCGAAGATGTAATAAGATTCGTGTGAGATGAGAATATCGCGGTTCTAAACATCTTCAGAGTAAGTTTCTGGTAAGAGCAACGAGAATTCTTTTAGATCTTGCGGATGTTTCTGATACCAGGGAAAGAAAATTTTTCCTCTCGGATCTTCTCTGTTCTCGGTTACCTCAATTGTTTGTTCTGTCATCGGCGCCGAGCGTACAATATTTGCCCGTCCGATTCTACGGTCGTCGTGTCGCAATCTTCCGATCCCCTGGCGAAGATATTTTTAACGAACATCTCGAGAAGCGAAATGGGAGAACACGTTTACAACGCGAAACCGAAATGGGGAAACTTCCCAACGCGGGGTGAACAACTTCCGTTTTCATTTACTAACAACGAATGGGTAGCGGGGCTTGAATCGTCCGAAGGCTTGTCGGAGCAAAAATTTAATAAACACGCCGTTAAATGTGGATCGACGATCCTTTTTGTTGAAAATTCACGGCATGCGGTTTTAAAACATGAGCTTTTTTACTGCCGGTAGCACGTGTTCGTTTATGTGTAGGGATCAAAGGAACGTTTATTACTCGAAATAAAATGAAAAATACTGAGCATGCCAAAAGGGGGCATAGAACAGTTGTCATAGTTCGTTAGACAGTAGAAAAAAGGTTGGAAATGGGTTGAATTGGTCAGGGTTTGCGCCTGGCAAATAAATAACGCAAATTGAAAACCGCGAGGGTAAAAAAGGGTGGAGTGAACGAAACCGCAGCCGAGTTTAAGTATGTTGCACGTGCGTATCGGTGGATCCAGCCTCCCGTTGTTAAACCGCGTGCATTCGTGCGTTCGTTTCACTAACAGGTACAGCGAAGGCAAAAATAAAACGTCGCCAGGGACGTATTGTCTCTGAAAATCTTATTATAATTCTATTTGTAAAACTGAGAAAGATCCTTGCTTTTAATAATAATTGATATTCCTTCAGATTTTTCTATATGCATGATTTTAAATCGAGCTCAACTGAATTGCACTTAAATCTAATAATCTTCATGATTATCAGAGTCGATGACTAATTAAGTCCCCTTTTATGCGTCGTTTGTTTACCATCGCTATCGAACAGGGACGCGATAGTATCGATTGCGATTAATTTCGGCGCGATTGGTTAAGCACTAAAGAGACCGGGGAGGTAGTCGACACGCAATTATTTGTAGTCGGACGCGGTCTCTGTAAATAACTAGTAGTTGATACGTCAAACAGACGCTATTTGCCGTGATAATTTGTTAGTAGCAGCAATTGGACCGGCTATTGTGCTCGCTGGTATTCGGTGAACGAGCCAAACGAACGGAATTTTTCCGTTCGAGTTTCGTCGTCCGATTTTCGCATAGCAGAACATCATCACAGCAACATCGAATTGGGACAGCAGATCGTAATATTAAACAATGAAATATTAGCACTGAAACAGGAAATGTTTAAAATTCTACATCTTTACATATCCTGTGTCGTAAACTTAAAATATTGGGTAATGCAAATGTTTTTTTCGAGCGTCTGCATGTGGCCAGGTTTTCATGCAAATACCTCCGTTATCTCTCTTTTCCTCTTTTTTACGTTTTATTTGTCCCACTCTGTGGTGGTGCACGCTCAATCGACCGGCGTGAGAGCCGTTTCTCCGTGCTCATATTTTTTTAGCTCTCCCTCTCGCGCGCATCGTTTGGTTATTAATGGGAAAGTGCGCTGTGTTCCCTCGAGAAGGAAAATTTCGTCTCCTACGAATGGACCAGTCGATGCGCTCTCGTCCGCGGGAATTGAACAGCTGGGATTTAAACGTGCATCGAGTATTTAATTATTCACTTGCAAACTCAATAAAATGTTATGCGTCAATCCTTCCTATAAAGAGTTTTTGTTAGAAACGAGAAAGCATTGGCTGTCAATGTATTTAAGGTATTTAAATTTCTAACGGAATTGCCAAGAGTTTTATTAGAACTTTAAACGGGCTTAAAAAGAGGGAGAAAAAGGCGAGGCGAATTTCAGGGGCGAAATAATCGAACAAGACCGTGGACGTCGTACACGGGTATCGCGTTTCCTTCGTTCGCCTCGGCTAATGGTTTAATCCTAACACGGATGTTAACCAGATTACCATCCAGGACTGCGGTAAAGGGAAGAGGGAGCTCGTCTCCCGTGCGCATTCCCTGCGGTCGCCGCGGAACAAATTAGCCGCGATTACGTGGATAACGACAAAAAGGGTCGAACCGTCGCGATTCACGCCACACCGCGGCGACCGCGATGCGATGCTGCCTCCTGCAATTTTCTGCAACGTCGCTCCCTTCTACCACGAGACGCCACCATCCCTTTCGCCCGCTGGGATTGTTCGCGTTCCCCCCGCCGTCCCGATCCCTCGGCTCCTAGTCGTCGTATTATGCTGCTTCGATTTTGTCTCCCAAGTCGCGACGGAGAAACTTTTTGCGCGCACGATCCTCTCTGCACAGTTCTTGCCTCCCCCATCGGCCAGTGGCAAGTACGAAATTGTTATACGGGATTTTTACAGAAAATATCGCTAAGGCGCGACCAGTCGAATTTCGTTTGTAAAAATTTGACTGGCAGGAGGTAGTGGGAACGATTCCCGAGTAGCCTGGATTCAACTGACGGCCGGCCGGTCCACTGCCACTCCGTTCCCATCTTCATCCGTCATGAATATCACCGTGTCAAAAAAATTCCGCGCACCCTCTTCGGTTTTGTTGCGTTTTATTTGTATTTTATTTGACCAGCGCCGGTGATGACCGACGCAGCCTTCTCTGCCCAGCACTCCGCCGTTGCCACCGGGCCGGGGCCCGCGGATATTACACCGCCCCTGAATTATACCGTCATAAAAACGTGATGAAGCGGCCACGGGTACCGGGCGGCGGAGGTCGGCAAATGGCTCGAAAAATCAAAGAGAACGGGGAATAATGGTCAACGAACCGGCGCGACGCAGCCGAGCCGCGCCGGACAGGCTAATATATTCGCTTTTCGCAGTGGGTAGGTGCGATTCGCATTGGCCGAAGGATCACCCCGTCCCATTACTCCTCGCCACGATGACGCGTTTGATGAATCTTTCCGGCAGGAATTACGACGGACTCCTTTGTTCCTCACTCGTATTTACCGGATTCTTTTGTCCCGCATTTACGACAGGGAATAAATACATTTTTCCGTAGTTGTATTAGTGGATTCTTACGTACGTTTAATGCATTCTCATTTTTTATGCCTGTTGCACGGGCCAACGGCGTTCAATATTGCTTATGCGTTTTATGAACGCAATAAGAAGCTGCATGATACATTTTTATTCTACGTCTTGCAAGTACAATTGAATCAAAACCTCGTTCGATAACTTCCCTTCTACTTTCATTCTAAATCAAGAGTCTATTTGTTCATATCTCTAAGATAGAACAAAAGTCTTCTTTTCTTCAGAACGATTCAGAACTGGTATTACCTTCCCAGGTAAAGTATTCTTGAAGGGAATTTCACTACTGCTTCTGTGAAAGAACAAACTTGAAAGATGGGAACGTGTCTCCCTTCGCGAGCAAACTGTGAAAGGAAGAGCCAAACGGCTGTCAGCGTGGCTGAAGAGAATCTCTTGAGTGAGTGGCGACTTGGAGCAGACACGCGTCAGTTTCTCCGGGTATTTTACTCGGAAACTGGTCCTCCTCTTGGCATGATTAGTCGCAAACACGCGCACGAGTTGCCATTCAGTTGACTATTACCGCATTCCCGCGGTTGGAATGTTAGGCAATAATTGTGGTCGTTAGCAGTTGTAAGAAGCGTAAGATACTGTTTAGAAATGATTCAGGTGGAATCCCGGTTCGATCTGTTTGCAAAGCTAATTGAGCGATTAAACCAATTATAGGTATAGTTATGCTAATCGTCTTTCAACTCGAGAGAATTGAATGAAACGCAGATGAGTTCAAACCAAAATCACGTGCATTCACAGTGAATTAACGTTATTTGTTTCTGTATCATTGTTACAGATGATGAAACATGGCTGGGACAACTATGTGAGGTACGCCTGGGGTAAAAACGAGCTGAGACCAATCTCTAAGAGAGGTCACAGCGCCAGCATCTTCGGCGCTTCGAATATGGGCGCGACTATCGTCGATGGACTCGACACTCTGTACATCATGGGTCTCCACGACGAATTCAAGCAGGGACGCGACTGGATAGCCGAGAATCTCGACTTCGATATCGTAAGTACCAATTCTATATTCGCATGATTTCGATTCTTTATAAAAAAAAAAAAAACAAGTTCGTATACTGCAAATTCTGAATTGAAATATATTCAGAATGATGATTCGCGCGAAAGATGTACAACAATTATTTTATATTGAAACGACTTATGTGGAAATTTGAGAAATGCTTGAAAAATCCGGCGCGACGGTCTGATCTCTCAATAAACGTAGACGTATAAAACGTCGAGGAGCATACATCGAAAGCAATTTTATCGAGTTCCTTGCCGGTAGACCGGTAAATCCCAGATGGAGCGTGTAGGAAATTCGAGTTTCCCTTGACGACCGTCATGGAAATGCGTGTTTGCTCTAGTCCTTAAGACGTCGCGAATCCTTGTTCGAGTCAGCCCGGTTTTAGATTTCAGGCTGCCGTTCGAATCGATGAAACAAAGTTTTAAAACATTTCAGACACATCGATTAACTATTGTCCAGTCATTGAGTAGAAATTGAATAGAAAAACATGTGAAATCAGGAGTTGGGAGGGAATTCGTTTAATCGACTGTAATCTCGAGAGGTGGAAGAGTTTAATTAAAGGATTAAAGGAACTAAACAAACTGGAATCTGTGAATACCGGAATGGAATAGGAAAGACGGGAGAGTTTCCGTCATCGGGGAAAGTTCTCACGGGGATAGGAGCGCAGGGGGCGAAGGGTAATCCTTTGGGAATCGAGACGGGTTTTGGTGGAAAACGGGATCGAACAGATATTCCGTGACCTTGACGGACAATGAAAACGTTATCTGCTGGAAGCAGCGGTCGCGTTCAGGCGCATTAAATCTGGCAAAGCTAAAGCCTCGCTGGATTAGTTCTCCGGAATATCGTTAAGAACTTCCATTCTCTCATCGAAAAATTTACATATGTATAGAATTACATAGCGATTCTAGATCTGCTTAAGAACGAATCCCTTCAACTTCCAAATAAGATGTTCGTAAGAGACGTTACTAAAATGATCAAATATTTAAATTATGACATGTATATTGGAAATTTTATTGGCATGCCCTTGCTTAATTCTAATCCAACGAGGGGCGTAGCGAGCACGATCGCTCGTTAATTAAGTTAATCGTTATGTAAATCAGTGGCCCATCCGTCGGGGATACAAAAAGGGTGGGAGTGAGAGCCGGGGGAATAAACTTCGTTCGAGCGTTTTCGTCTGTAGACAACCAGTCCCGTAAGTACCAGTCGAGTCGGCGAACTTAGCCCCGGTTTATCCGAACTTGGTAACAGTCCCGTTACTTCTGCGCCAACTCCCGGTTACCCCCTGCTTCTCGCGTCGATCCTCGCGAGCCCAACCCTTCCAGTCCCCCGCTGGTATTAGAGCGTATCTCGAAGCGGTTAAGTTGTCGTGTTAACCGGTAACCACCCTGTCGGAGTTCGTGCCTACTCGTGCCTTCTAAGGAGACACTGGCTTTCTGTAATTATCATTTGAATGGGTAAATGAACGGCCCGCCTCTCCCCAAATAAATTGTCAAAATTAGAGACCGTCTCAGACGTTCAAATGTCCATAAAAACTGAACAAGAAATTGTATCGAAGTCTCGCACACTTTCGTACGTAAAACGAAATCTGTTCGTCAAATAAATGTACACGTTTCGTATCGATTAATATCGCTGCGTTATCGTAAAAGTTTTTACTGAATACGAGAATACGAATCCGGTGGTGCCGTCTCAAATATTTGGTTTCGCGGAGGAATATTCCCCGAGGATTTCGATTCCCGTTCTCGAGGATAATAGGACGTCAAACATTTTCCCTGGCCCGTGCCAACCTCAACTATTTATGGTGGATTCCTAAACGGATAACTTCGCGTATTAGTCACTTCACCGCACTGCAAACTCGCTCCTCTTTGCTCCCGCGTTGCTCCTTGCCAGAATCTCTGCTCGATATTTCACACTTGCGTTATTTACTTGCCATTTTTCCCTTCGAGTTCTCGTGCAGATCTAAAAAAAAAATCAAAAGATTTGTTATTTTGTAGATAGTCGTATTGGTTTAGGCATGAAGTAATTTAATACCTTGAAAACTTGAATTGTTAAGCTCCTTCCTGAAAGCAGAACTTGTTTCTCTAAAATCAAAAGTGAAATGACAGGGTGAGCGCAAGCTACTAATTCACGAAACTGACAAAGTTTAAAACAGAAGTTCTCGGATATCGTGGAGCGAATTTCAAATCGACTCGTCGCTCCTTTAAATTAAGTCTGAATGCGGTTGAAGCCACGTTCGCGACACTACAAAAATAGCCGGTGAGCAAATGGGCGGGATTGCTGCTTGTCGTTGCGTTACTTTACTTACTCCGTGATCGTCTCGCTTCGTGTTACCAATTAAAATTATTACCGCAGCTTTCTTGTTCTACGTCGGTGAAACTCGAGCCTTGTTAAAATCGATCGTGCAATGCAATATTTTGGAACGATCACGTAAAGTACCTAGTTGTTCGTACATCAACTGACACCGAATATCTTTTACGAATTGTTATAGGGAATCGTGAAAACTAGCGTTCTAGGTAAACTGAACTGTTATTTGATCAGAAACATTGTTCGTCTTCCGTGAAGTATAAATTGGTTCAGGATTGGCAAATAAATTGGAGTCGGTAGAGATATCAGTAATTTAAAAATCTCTCTCATCCTCTATAGAGGAAATGATCGAAATCCATCAGCAATAATCCGCGAAACTCTTGCCAGGCTTTGAAAAAAATCGCGCGTACGCATGGGAAGGCTGGTCGGCTACGCTCTGGCGTATAACGAGAATCCGGATTAAAAAAAGAGGGTGAAAAAAAAAAGAGCGAAGAAGGGGGTGCTTCGGATATTAATCTTCCAGTGGCGAGGCGCGCGCCCCGTTTTCGGCCCGAAATCAATTTCAATGCGGCGCGTATATGCAAAAAAGGATACGGGCGCACAAAACGCGAGTAGTGAATGCACCGGCCACCGATATATATTACCCCCTCGCGAAGATTTATAAAAGAATGAAAACAGTGCGTGCGCGTTCCTTTTTTCCCGGGCCTCCTCCGCGGAGGTGGGAACCGATGGCGAACGAGTTATATGGACTGGCGATTCGGACCGCCGATAAATTCGAAGAAACCCTCCCGCCCCGTCCCGTCCCGTCCCGTGCCGGCTAAACCCAGGCTTTTAAAATGAACAAACGGCAACAGTCGCATTATGCGCCGGACCCACGTGGTTCGGACGAGAGGCGACCCATGCCAAATCTGGTATCTGACGCCAGGCACACATGTTCCCGAGGATTCTACTCCCAGTTCTCCTTTTGGCTGCTTCTTACAGAGGCGTCAGGTTCGGTGTACATTGTTCCCTGGAACAAGTTGAAAAAATGTAGCGACGCGTGTTCGGTATTCTTACCTGAGAGATCGTACGGTATCTTCGATCGATCTAAATTCATTTTCCAACGATACACATGGGTTTCCCTCGGCGCATTGTGCGCGAGGGGTAAAGCTTCTGGTAGGTACTCCCTGCGAAGTACTTATCAGCCAGTTGAAAAGGTTAATCAGGCTCACGTCAAATGCAGGCAGTGGTCGGGAGGAGTCTACGAACGGTTTGGCTAATCAGGCAAGTTATGGTACGTCGCCGGTTCTTATCCTCGGCACTGTAATTAGCGACGTGGTCCTTACGTGAAAAGGAAGATCGACTCTTATTGGGCAACTAATCCTCTCTCTGTGCTCTTTAAGTCGAGGTACTTATGTACTACAATCGAGCGGATTCTGGTTTTAAAACCCGTCATCATCGGGGTGAAATTGCGCCATTCCGTTTCGTTTATGTTCTCAAATTAGCCGGATAATCCGGAGCGACTGCACGGCCACAATGGGACCAGGATAATGAACGATCAGGCGAATTTTTCATGGGGGATCGTCTTAAGGAGGGCGAAATCATCTTCCGATCGAGTGGGAACGATGAGAGCGAGTCGCTACCGATTTTATGTACGCGCTTAATTATGGTTGAACCTCGTAACAATAAAACTCGTAAACGATTTTTGATTTGCTGTTTAACTTAATGTACATTGAGACCGGCAATGAAATTATATTGGTTGACCAAATGCTCATCGATTAAGTTTAATTACGATTGTGGTATTTCTTAATGCTATGTACCTTGTAAATATTTATGATACTTTTCACAATTCGGTTGGAATGGAGGCTTTGGGTTTTATATTGGATAAGATTTGAACGAAATCGATATCATAATCTTATTTCGAACTTTAAGAGATTGAGTATTAATAACGTACATTTGCAAAGATCGAATTGGACCTTACCTCTAGTGACAAAAGTAGCTTTTGCCTTATCCTGCTATCTCAATCCATTCTGGAAATAGTGACTCTAAAAGTTTCGTCGTTTTAAATCCCCGTGGAATCATTCGCCCTGGTTCCATTCTTAGAATTGAAAGGGTTATTCCTTAGAATCACGTAGCAGGTGTCTAGACAGAGTGGTTGGTGTTAGAACAAATTAGTAAGTAGGTCATAGTGTAAAAAAAATTAATGTATTTGCATAATATCTTCGAAAGGGCAAATCTACTAAATGCCTTTTTAGAGAAGAAGCTTCGTCGTTTCTTATCACGGAGTTCCATTTTTTTTAAACAGACTTGCAAATGTGATACATAAAATTAAAAATGAGTGCAAAATTCTTATGTCTACCTAAAATGCATTGTTTTACTTGATTACCTTGCACGTTTTAATTAAATTAAAAATCCGTAGTTTAATTATTCTCAATTTTTCCTCACACGTACATCTTCAGGTATTTAGCGCATCTCATTTGACGTTGACTCACCTCGCGTTCGTATTCGGTTCTATACCTGTGCTAAGAATGAAAATGGTTCGGTTTGGGAACAACAATCGGCCG